TACACGTGGGCGACGTTCGGCCGGGAACTCCGCAGCAGAAAGACAGCAGCTTACCTCAGGTGGGCGGTCTCCGGAACCTCCCAGTCCCCGCCAGGCTGCTTCCCAGAGGCCTCTACGCCCCTTCGCCCCGCCCCCCCAGCTCCCTGCGCCCGCCCCTTTCCCTGCCCCCAGCCGTCTCATCCACACGCGCTCGGCCCCTGCCGGCGCTGGTCCTTCTCTCGCGAGATCGTGGCTGTGGTGAAGCCGGCTGTGGTGGCCGCTGTCCGGCCGGGGCGGTGAGGGTCGTTTTTCTTTGGTGTCTCGCAAATTTCAGTCTGGTTTGGAGGTGCTAAGTAGGTTCCAGGGCCGATGGCGGGGCTGCCGGAGCGCGGGGTCGGGAGGAGGGGGCGGGGCGGGCTGCGGGCTCGGTCCGCGTGGCGCGCCTCCTGGGCGCCGCCCGCCCGCGGCCGAAGTGAGGTCCGGATGCGAGGTCCGGAACGGGTGGCTAGCCCGCAGGCGCCGTGTCGCCGTCTGGTCTCCTTCTGCTCGGGTCCGAGGCGCGGCCGCCTGGTGCAGGACCCTGGGGTACTAGCGTCGGGTTGACGAGTGACAGGCCGCGTGTCCGCAGCCCGCGCTGACCTCGCCTTGGGTCCGCCCAGGCCGGAGGTCTGCGGTGGGGCTTGGTGGCCCCGGGGTCTTGGCGGATGGGAAACTCCGGGAATTCCTTGGTCCAGATCCTAAAGAAGTTGCTTCTTTCCGAGGTTACCAGGAGTTTGTTCTCGTGTATACGAAACTCTGCCGCCTTATTCAGCGAGACAGAAGGAAGAGGCGACTAGACAAATAATTTAAATTTCTATACGTTAATTTTTTTTAAGTAAGGTGTACAGAACGATGGAATATATGACAGAATCCACCGACCGCAACCCTGGACACATGTGAGTCACGACCCTTCCCTGTCCCCCTGTTACCTTCGAAGATCTAAAAATGAGTCTTTGAAACTTACTAATGAGGGACAGTTGTTAATCGTAAGTGGGAAAAAACAAAAGCTTTATTTCTGTAGAAAATCTGATTCGTTTTAGGTTACAGAGGTTGCTGTAGTAAGTACGTGCTTTAAGAGGGTTAAAATCTTATCTATGCGTGTGTCTAGGATATTGACACTGTAGTATGTAGCCATTAGCAACATGTGCATATTTAAATTTAAATTGAATACAGTATACGGTTGCTGTGTTTTACTAATCACATTTCAAATGCCTCATATCTACCTGTTGCTGGCTAGTGGAATACCTTGGACATGGAAGATTAGTGAACTTTGGACAATATTGTTCTGTGTCAGTGGTTCTCTATTTTTTCTTCCTCCAGTACACTAGAATTATAATATTCCTGACATTTATACTGAATCACTGGACGTTGCCCCCAAGTACACTTAGAATTATGATACTGTTGAGATTTATACCGAATCACTAAAATTCTATATGCTTCCTCTCCTGTTTCTGCCCTGGGTAGATGTTTATATATTGGCCGTGCTTTTGTTGTATATTATTATTAGAGTACATTGCTATTACTATTAGAAAATGATTTAGATATCAATTTCTGTTGCTGTAGTTCAGAAGTGTTTGCATTTTCCAAAGCTACTTTAACAAAATATTTATTAGAAAGAGTTAGGTAGGTATACTCTTTACCTGAGCTAGTTGGTCTTACGTATGTGCTGTATAAATGGACAAAGTTCTTAGTGTAGCAGCAGAGATAGTGGTCAAAACAGATGAGGCATCAACTAGGCTAAATAGGTACCCTCATTTTTAAAGGCTTGATATCTGGTGGTTGAATTAAAAAGAGAGTAGGGGGATAAGAGGATTAATATATTTCAAAATAGCTAAAAGGATTTTGCTTATACTCACCATAAGTAATAAAAGTTTAAGGTGATGGGTCTGCTAATTACATTGATTTGACCATCATACAATGTATACATGAATTGAAACACTGGGAGGGGTCCATTGTACCACATAAATATGTAGTTACTATGTGTCAATCATTCTGCATACAACTGTCTAGAAGGCTATATACAAATGATTAACGGTGATTACCTCCTCATGGTCTTGGCTGGGTATAGTAAAGAGAACTTTAATTTTTTTTTTTGTTGCCTTTTAAGTATTTGCAATTGAAATTAGTATAAGTTTTGTAGTCTTCATCAATATATCTCCATTTGTTTCAGTGTAACATTTCCATTTGTTTTTCATAGAAAAGACTTGTTTAGACCTAGGCTGGGTATTTAAATATAGATTTCCATGAAATAAAATTAAAAATTAAGTCTCTCAGTTGCGTTAGGCACTTCCATTGGCCCTGGCTACCTTGTTGGATAAACCAGAAATACACGGGGGCTTCAAAAATTGATAGAAAATTCATATTATCTATTAATCCGATTTTCCACCTTTTTTTTTTTTTTTAAGATTTATTTTATTTGTTGGAAAGGCAGAGTTACAGAGAGAAAGAGAGAGGTCTCTCAACCGCTGGTTCACTTCCCCAGTGGCCACAATAGTTAAGGCTGGGCCAGGCTGAAGCCAGGATCCAGGATCATCTTCCAGGTCTTCCACATGGGTGCAGGGACGCAAGCAGTTGGGCTCTCTTCTGCTGCTTTCCCAGGCACATCAGCAGGGACTGGAAGTGGAGCAGCCTGGATTGAAGTGGGACTCAAACCAGCACTCCTGTGTGATGCTGGCCTTGCAGGCAGCAGCTTATCCTGATATGCCACAATGTTGGCCCCCTCCACATATTTTTTTGTAACTCCTGCCACCTCCCTCCCCCGACTACTGTAGGACATTTCTATTATTGAAGGAAGTTCTGTTTGATGGTACTGACTTTGTAGATCCTTGAGACATCTGCCAGGTTTGAGGATTTTAAGAATTGTAGCCATCCTTGTTTTATTGCCCCAATATCCTAAGGTTGTTCTTTTAACTATTGCATCTTTGAAGATAATTTTACTTATAAGTAATTTTTAAATGGCAAAAATATTATGGTCTAACTTGGAAGCTTTTATTTGTTAGTTGGTTTTGTTAACTTAACCAGTGTGCTTGTAAAATCTAATTAGAAAATGTCTTTTATTTATTCAAGCTTGTGCTGTGAGTGTGGTGTCCCGATTAGTCCAAATCCTGCCAATATTTGTGTGGCTTGTTTACGAAGTAAAGTAGACATCAGCCAAGGTATTCCGAAACAGGTTTCAATTTCTTTCTGCAAACAATGTCAAAGGTATAGTGCATTACTATTTTACCCTACTTAAAATTGAGATTTATATAGAGATAGCTAAGGATAGCCTGACATTATATCAAAATATGTAGGCTAAAAGTACAAACCTTTGAGATTTATTTAGTATTTATGTTGGTGTCACCAAAGATTTTAGAATTTACAATTTCATGTTGTACGTTTCAAGTTTTCCTTCCAATCTGGTAAAGAAGTATAAATATATTTGGATTTTTTTCTTTTTTTGTTAAGAGATTTAGTAGATTTAATGTATATAGTTAACAGATTCGTGGGGATGTTTCAAGGGTTAGTGAAAGCAGATTATAAGGGACATATTATTGTTATTACTGTGAGGTTTTTTTCCCTTCAGGTATCAGAAACTATATATGACAAAAAAGTGCTTTAGGTAATGTAGTATGTGTATGTTTTAAAAAACTATATATAATGATGTTCATGTGTAATTAAAATGACTAATTTTTGATGGAAAAGAAGCTCAGTAAATCCTGTCCGGAATGATCAGAATTTGCAGGTAGAAGGCTTCTTCTAAAAGTTAATATTTTAATTCCTCTTTAATTCTGTTAGTTGTTTAGCATAGTTTATTACTAGTGGGCAAGTGAGTAAGAAAGAATTGCCCGATGAATGCTTGTTGCTAAATGGATCAGGACTTAATGGGTATGGTTCCTGGACCTCTTTGAGAATTTGAAAAGTATATCTGCAGAAAAATACTTACATGTACATATATATAAGCATGCAAAATTTTGTGTACTGTTTCACAGTTTACAAGCTTAGCAAGCATGAGGCTTAATCTGTTTTAAATATTTGCTATTCCTTAAAGTTTGATGAAGGTAAAAAAAGAAAAGTACTGGCTGGATAAAGAATCAGAAGACCCAATTAGTCTTAGATTTCTCACAAAGCAGCTCTTTGAAACTGTTGGCCATTTATCATCTCTAGACCTCATTTCCTTATCATAATAAAGGACTTTTATTAGATGATAAGAAAACTTTTTCTAACTCCATGAATATAAACACAGCGGGACTTGTGCAAATTTTTTTTTCAAGATTTATTTATTTGGAAGGCATAGTTAAAGAAAGAGAAGAAGAAGCAGAGAGAGAGAGAGATCTTCCATCCTCTGGTTTACTCCCCAAGTGGCTTCGATGGCCAGGGTTGGGCCAGGCCAAAGCCAGGAGCCAGGAACTTCATCCAGGTCTCCCATGTTGGTGCAGGGGCCCAAGTACTTGGGCAGTCTTGTGCTGCTTTCCCAGACTGTTAGCAGGGAGCAGGACAGAAAGTTGAGCAGCCGTGACTTGAACTGGTGCCCATATGGGATGCTAGTGCTGCAGGTAGCAGCTTAATCTGCTGTGCCACAGTGCCACGGATGTTTTTTATTGAACCTTGGAAAGTAAAAACCAGAGCTTTCAGTTATTTAACAAGTGTGGCAAAAACGTATTCAGGTAATACAAGTGGAAGTACGAGAGTACTTAGAAAGTATCTATAAGTTCTATAAGTGGTCTTCAGAAATTTCATAGAAAATGTGTATCAAAAAAAACACAGAGATTTCAGAATTTTAATTCCATTTACCACGAACTTTTTGAAGTACCCTTATATTCTGTATTTAACAAGTACAGTGCCAAACAATGTATTAAGTCCTGGATAGGCTGGTATAAAAAACCATATGCATAAGGGATTTAATCAGGCTTTACTTAAGATTTTAAAATTTAAATTTGAAAAGGTCCTTGGACTGTGATGACTAGTCTGAACTATTGCTGATAGGAGTGTTGTGAGCTACTGATTTACCTTTTTTTGTGAGAAATTAGCAATTCTTAAGCATTTTAGAAGTATGTAATAAACCATTTTAATGCCATTTTGAGATGATTCTTGTTTTTCACGATATGGCTTTAAGGAATTCCTGGGAATTTTGTCATCCTCACTGGAGTTTTTACTGGTGATTGCAGTAGTAATAAGACTGTTTTAATGGATTATTTCAGATTGGTTTTCTCAATACCTTTTTAAATAAAGCTACTAGTCTGTGAGTTTTCTGAACTCTTAAAATACACTTGGGTTAAGGTTGAGTTCAGATCAACCTTGGGTATCAAGTGTGGTTAATAATTGATGTTATAACTGCATATTTAGATGGAAATGTCTAGTTTTCCTAAGAGATGTTGGATTTGTTATCTTATTTCAGATATTTTCAGCCACCAGGAACTTGGATACAGTGTGGTTTAGAATCCAGGGAACTTCTTGCTTTGTGTTTAAAAAAAATCAAAGCCCCTTTGAGTAAGGTAGGTCACAGAGCTCAACTTAATATTTAAAGCTGTGCTTTCTTGAAAGCATGAACTTTTAGGAAATCGTGTTAAGCAATAACTATAAAATATTAATGTTGTTACTAGTAACACCCCACTACAAGTGCTGTTTTAATTTTTAAAGTTATATATCCATTTTTATAAATTTAGGAAAAATTAAAATATATTTTTACTTTGAAAGAATTAGAGGCTCACATTTTAAAAATTGAAAACTTTTATGTGTAATTTTTTTTCTTAAAATACATTATTGCTAGATATATTTTAAGAGATTAAAATATTGGAGTAATGTTATTTATTTCTTTTTATTATTGTTTTGGAAAGAAAATGTTTGAACTTATCACTTAATATCAGTGTATGCATGTCTCCAAAAAAGCCGGCATTTGTTTAGAGTCCAATTTACTTCTTTAGGTAATGCTTTCAATTTTCTTTATGCTCAACTTTATGATTCTCTTCTACCCTGTGTGTTTTTAATTGAAGTGAAGTCTTTCAGTTTGAGAATCTGAATCTTTTCTGATTCTTCTTTAAGCCCTGAAAAAAATCTCATCTAATTGTTCTTTGAAATGTCTCCCTTTATTTTCTTCTCCCTTTACCCTGTTCCCACAATTTCTCTTAGACAAATGTGGACCTATCTTTGTGTTCTTGGCAGTTTCCTTTACTTTATCTCCCAGTCTTTTTGCTGATTTTTTTCTTCAGCAGTAATGTTTTTAAGTTCCGGAGTCTTTCATGTTCTTGATGCATTCTGTCCCTGAGTTTTTCTGAAGATTTTGATGATACAGTTTTTTCTTCAAGTATCCTTTGTTCCCTGCATTGTCTTTTTCTGGAATCATTTTTATGCATATTGTGGTATTTTTGCTTTTATACTTCAGGCTTTTGTCAAGTCCAGTGAGTCTTAGACAATTCATATCGCAGACTGCTTTTGGTGTTGGAATGTGGCAATGGATAAGGGAGACCATCCCTATCTTAGTTAATATTCTAGTTTAGGGAGTTAGGTGTATAGAGTAGGCAACAATCAAGTTATGTAGGTATATTGTATAGTGTATTAAAAGACATAAATTCTGTACAGAAACAAAATTAGGAAGGGAAAAGGAATTGTTCAGAGAAGATTGCAATTTAAAATAGGGTGTTGATCGGAGGCCTCACTGATAAGTAGTATTTGAGTAAACATTAAAGATTGTGAGGGATCTGCAGAAATCTGGAGGAAAATGGAGGGATCAGAATATAGACAGCAAGAGATGTAGAGACCAGAGGCAAGGACTCACCTGTGTGGTTAGAGTGGTGTGTCGAGGGGAAATGTAGTTGGGGATGAAGTCAGGAAACTCAGGGAAATTCAGAGTGTGTCTGGCCTGGGAGCCTCTTGGGAGGACTTGTTTATATCCTGAGTGTAATGGGTATCAAGGATGAACATCAGAATAGGGACATGATATGATTTATGAAGAACCCTCTGGCTGCTGTATTTAGATGTGAAGGAGGTAAAGGTAGGTATAGGGACATAGGAAATAATCCTTATATTAGGGTACTTCAGAAAGTTCTTGGGAAAATGGAATTAAAAGATAGATTCATTTTGGTGCAGAAATTTTTTAAAGCCACACATAATTTTCACAGAATGCATTTTTCACGAACTTCTTGTAATCGTGAAAAATGATGGTTTGGGTGCGGCAATGGAGATGGTGAGAAGTGGACAGATTGTGGATCTGATAGTCGTGTTTACTGATGTTGCTGGGTGCATTTGTAAGTGTAAGTGATGCTGGATGTATCACTATTGACCGGAGCAGTCAGAGCTCCTCTCTTCACTAGTTCTTAGATGATCACTAGATATTTAAGTAGAAATACTGAGTAGGCAGCTGGATAATAAGAAGGGAAGTATTCTAGACTAGAGAGATGTACTTGGGTTATAAATTGCATTTAAAGCCTTGAATTGGGTAAGACCAGAGTTTAGAAAGATAAGGGAAAACCTTTTAAAGGACTGAATTTTGGAGTTACTCATTGATAAAAGTTTGGAAAGATGAGGAAGCAGCTGCAAACGGGAAAGAAAGGAGCTGCTGGGGTGATGGGAGGAATATTAGGTGAGTGGAGTGTCTTGGAAGGCAAAGTGTTATAAGGAGAGTGAATGGCCATATGAGTTGCAGCTGATTGGGTCAAGTAATGATTTCTGTAGATTTAGTAATGTGGAGGCCATTAGTAACTCTGATGAGTGACTTCTGTTTAGTGATGGTAGTAAAGACATGATTTGAACAAAAATAAAAGAATGGGAGAAGGAAGCGGAGGTAGCAAGTACAACTGGTCCTCTATGAACCAACTGTGGGTAAAAAAATAATTTGCAAAATTTGTAAAATTGTATCTCTGCTGAACATGTAGATTTTTTTTCTTATTATTCCCTAAACAATACAGTATAACAACTATTAACATTGTAATAGGTATTAAAAGTAATTTAGAGATGATTTAAAGTATATGCATAGGTTATATGCAATTACTGAGCTATTTTATATAAGGAATTTTAAGTCTGCAAATTTTGGTCTTTTGATTGGGCCTGGAACCTATCACCCACAGATACTGAGAAGCAGCTGTATGGACAATTTTTTTGAGATTTGCTGTTGCTAAGGAAAACAGATGGGGCAGTGGCAGAAATTGTATCAGTTGTATTACTGTAGTTACTGCATTGTCCTCTTATTGTCCACTGTTAATAACATCTTTGATGAGAAATTTTTTTGTGTGTGGTAATGATTCGTTGCGATGTTAATCACAGATTTCTTAGGCAAGACAAGTATGAAAAAAATTTTTTAAGAGATGAAATCTGATTTTTAAAATGAGTTGTCTTATCCTTTTTCTCTTCTCAGGTGGAAATTTATGTTTCTTTGTGTTTTATTGAAGGTACGGCTTGTAGATGCAGGCTTTGTTTGGACTGAGCCCCATTCTAAGAGACTTAAAGTTAAATTGACTATTCAGAAAGAGGTAAGGTATACATAATTTTCTTGACATAGGTAAAGTGAAGATAGTGAGAATGAGGGTCTAGTGATAAGTTGCCTAATTGCTTGGATAGTTTTTATGGAAAAGAATGTGCTGTTATTTTTAGCATGTGCAACCATTGCTCATGATTAGTAGGCTGAATAATCTTTTCAGTTATTTTCATTATGAAAAGGTTGAAGTAAAACATGGATCAATGCAATAATTCTCAAATTCAGCTGATCCTAATGATTTACAAATATTGAATCAGATTTGTGAGGTTGTTCAATTACTGTGAGTCAGTAAATGGATGCCCAAGAATCTTTGTATTTCAGAGGCTTCCCAGGCGATTTCTGATCGATTTTATTGGGAACCATTAAACAAAGAAATATTTTCTTTCTGAAGGTTTTCCTTATTTTTATTTTAAAGATGAATTCTGTATATAAATAAATGTATATACACACACACACACGTGGACACACAAATTTGTATACAAATTCTTCAAAGAATAGCCTTACAACCACTATAACTACAGATAAATTTGGAATGTAAGAGTTAAAGCTGTATATCATTCTTGAAATGGTATAAATGGGGGCCAGCGCTGTAGTGTTAGCGGGTAAAGCCACCGCCTGCAGTGCTGGCATCCCATATGAGTGCCGGTTTGAGTCCTGGGTGCTCCACTTCCGATCCAGCTATCTGGTATGGCCTGAGAAAGCAGTAGAAGATGGCCCAAGTGCTTGGGCCCATGCACCCACATGGGAGACCCAGAAAAAGCTCCTGGTTCCTGGCTTTGGAATGGTGCAGCTCTGGCCATTGCGACCAACTGGGCAGTGAACCAGCAGATGGAAGATCTCTTTTTCTTTCTGCCTCTCCTTCTCTCTCTGTGTAACTCTTACTCGACTTTCAAATAAATAAATATATTTTTTTTAAAAAAGAAATAGTATAACTAATGACTTTAAATTTGCTTGTGGGGCTGGCGTTGTGACGTAGCAGGTTAAGCCTCCACCTGCAACATCAGCATCCCAGATGGCTGCTCCACTTCTGATCCAGCTCCCTGTTAATGCACCTGGGAAAGCCGTGGAAGATGGCTCAAGTGCTTGGGCTGGCCTCTACACCCATGTGGGGGACCTGGAAGAAGTTTTTAGCTTTAGCCTGGCCCAGTCCCGACCATTGTAGCCATTTGGGGAGTGAACCAGCAGATGGAAGATCTCAATCTCTCTCTTTGTCTCTCCTCCTTTCTCTCTAGCTCTGCCTTTCAAGTAAATAAAAAATGTTTTTTATTTTTAAATTGCCTAGTTGATATCTTCAGAGCATTCAAAGAAGAATATATTAAAATATTTTAAGAAAAATCTGTTATTGAACTGTAAGATTCAGAGAATATAATTATTTTCTTTCATCAGGTGATGAATGGTGCCATCCTTCAGCAGGTATTTGTGGTGGATTATGTTGTTCAGTCCCAAATGTGTGGTGATTGCCATAGAGTAGAAGCTAAGGATTTCTGGAAGGCTGTGATTCAAGTCAGGCAAAAGGTAATGTGAGAAATATGGTGAGTGAGTTCTATATCTTACAGTTCAGCTTTGCCAATTATAAACAGCTGGTCCAAACTTCTCTTTTACTTTCTTTTCAAATCCATTAGGTACTAGGGATAGTCTAGGTCCCTGAAGCATTCACCTTTGGAAATAGATATTATTCTATTTTAGATAATCTTTAAATATGGTTTTTGTTTGAAAACTCAGTGTCCCATATCTATAGATGGTATCTTCATGTGCTATATTTATAAATATTTTGACTTTAATTTATTAATAATATATTTATATTTAGACTTTGCACAAAAAAACTTTCTACTATCTGGAACAGTTGATTCTGAAGTATGGAATGCATCAGAATACACTTCGTATCAAAGAGATTCATGGTGAGTTAAAATTGGAAAGAGTTTGAAATTATGTCATAGTTTATTTCAACTTACCTAAGTAATCTTATCTTTCCTGATAGTTTCTGGATTAGTAGTACCATCCAAAAGAACTTTCTGTTAGGAAATTAAAAACGTCTTAGTTCTATATCCTCTCTGTCCAGTGTGATAGTCACTAGTTAGTCATTTGTGGCTGTTGAGTAATTGAAATCTGATTAGTGCAACTAATTAGAGGAACTGAATTTTTATTTTCTCCTATTTTAATTTAAAATTAGATTCAGGTTACATGTGGCTACTCTGTTATATAGCAGAGACTTAGAACTCAGAATTTTTTTCTTTGATTTTCTGCCTCTGCCCAAATTAATGATACTTATCAACCCTCTGGTTTATGATAGATGCCATGCTGTGTTCTTAGAACATAAAGATGAACTGATACTAACTCCTGCCCTCAGTGAATCGTTTGCCTTGTTACCTAATGAGTAACCAGTAACTATGTGAATAAAGTGTTCAATGCTATGATAGAAGATTCATCAAAAACTTATTTTATGTAGTAGAGAGAACAGTTTCTCATTGGAAGAAGTTAATTATTTTTGAGTTCTATAAGTTCTTTCTATACTGTTTTTATGTTTTTCATATCAGAGGATTTATGATGTATACAATAATTCAGAAGTCTAAATTTAGTAATAATAAATAGTGATACCAAATAGTGATACATAAAATATCTGTTTCTCTCTCTTGGCCTTGTATTTTATTTTGTCCTTTTATCAAGCAAATCTTAAATGATATTCCTAATCTGTTATGGCTACAATATAATCTTTATATTTTCTGATTTGATTTTATTTAGTATAGATTTAATTTGTGAAGTAAGTCTTCTTTTACAGAATTTTGTTTTTTTTCAGATGGTCTGGATTTCTATTATTCCTCAAAGCAACATGCTCAGAAGATGGTAGAATTTCTTCAGTGTACAGTTCCCTGTAGGTATGTTCTAAACCTAAATGTTGCTTATTCTGGGGATCTGGGAATAGATATGGGTAACATTGTTGAGGCTTTGACAATATTCTTTAGGTTAAAAATTTTAAAAATCGTAGGAGTACTTATACAGTCAGGAAGCTTTTATTGGTTTAGGCACTTTAAGTGATAGAGTAACTGAAGAGCACGTAAGAATCTCCTTGGGGAGCTAAAACTAACACCGTGATACTAAACACTGTTATGCTGAACCATTGATTAAATGTATTTAAATGATATGAAACAGGAAAAATAGGGTATAAGAGAGCTTTGTGGAAAGCTTTATGGAAGAAGTGGGACTTGTGGTTCAAAAGTGGGAAAAATTTTTCAAAGGTGGAATTTAAAATTTAAAGAAGATACTAGGGTGAACAAAGACTTGCAATGGGCATTTGGGTAAGTTTTAATGGATAGCATGTAGAGAGCACATTGGTCTGAGCCCAAGTACATATTTTGGAGGCTTTCAGCAGATAAGGTTGAAAATAGATGGAATATAATTAGACCTATGAAGGTTTTAAATTACACGTGGATGAAATTTGCTCTAACATAGCAGACATCAGGAAGCTGTTTCAGACCTTGGACAGTGATAATCTGATTTGATGAAAATTGATATTCCTGTGTCTTCACAAGAACCTTAGTCTTTATATTGATTTTAATCTTTTTTTGTTAATAGATACAAAGCATCACAAAGACTGATATCTCAAGATATCCATAGTAACACATACAATTACAAAAGCACTTTTTCTGTGGAAATTGTTCCAATATGCAAGGTAATTTTTTAAATTTGATAATTCGTATCTGTATAAGAATACAAGTGATTAATTGGTTTGAATGTAGTTTATAACTCCTGGCTTTTTTCTGAACTTGGTGTAAAGTGTAGAATAACGAACTTCAATGATTTCTGAAATATTCAGCCATGTTAAAAAGATACAGAAAAGTAACCATGCTTGTAATTATGAATTGAAATGCATTTCATTTGTTTTTTTAAGATGAAATGTCCTGGTGTCAGTTTTTTAAAAATTCATTTTCCTTAAAACTTGTGATCCTAGTGGACATATGACAGTTCTACAAAACTTTGAATACAGGAAATGATATTAAAATAAGTATTAGTGAGCTTTTTGTGGAACATATGCAAACAGGATTTTGGCAGGATTAAATTAATCAATATTGTGGAAATGAGATCACGGAATCCTTTTTGTTATTTAAAAGTATCTGAATAAAACCTTTAAATGTAGATTATTTCATTTAATCTTCTAAGATACAAACTACAAAAATGTAAATGATTTAAAATTCAATAAGTAATTATTGAGCATTCACTATATAGAATACTATGTGACTATGTGTTGATGACTAGTCAGCTCTCTACCATGTAGGAACTCACATTTTTATATTAAACCACTAATAATGATAACTACCATTATTTATTGTGAACATTCTATGATGCCATTATCTATTTACTTAAGTATTCACTTTGTATACAGTACTAGAGTAAAATAATAGCCTAAAATAGGGTCAGCAGTTTTTTTTTAAGATGTGTTCATTTTTTTTATTTGAAAGACAGAAAGAGAGAGATACTCCAACTGTTGGTTCATTTCCCAAGTGGCCACAAACAGGGTGAGGCCAGGCTGAGTGAAGAGCCAGGAACTCCATCTTGGTCTCCCACAGGTTGGCAGGAACTCATGTACTTTAGCCATGATTGCTGCCTACCAGCAAGCTTTCTATAAAGGGCTAGATAGTAAATATTTTTTGCTTTCAAACCCTATAACCTCTTTTGCAACTTGTTAGCTCTGCTCTTGTTATACAAAAGCAGCCATGATTAATATGTGAGTGAGTGACCAGAACTGTGTTCCCATAAAACTACCTGTAGCAATAAGTGGTGGTGGGGCTGCAGTTGGCCTTGCAGTTAAGACACCTGCATCCTTTATCCTTATGAGTGCCTAGGTTTGATACCTCAGGCTCCTGATAATGCAGACCTTGGGAGCAGCAGTGGTAACTCAAGTAATTGGGTTTGTGCCATGCATGTTGGAGACCTAGGCTGAGTTTGCAGCTCCTGGCTTTGCCCCAGCCGAAGGCTGTTGGACATTTGGGAAGTGGACCAATAGATGAGTACTCTGTATATCTGTCTCTCAAAGTTCTTAGATGGTGGACCAAATTTGTCCCTAAGGTCGTTTTTTGCCAACTCCTCTTTTAAAACAATAAACATTTCCTGACATATGAAGCCTAAGAATTAATGAATTTGGGCATAAGGACATACTTAGGCCTTAGATATTAACTGCTTTGAGTGACTCATATAAGTAACTGGTAGAATACAAAATGGAAGTACAGTCATCCCTCAGTATCAGATCCTTTGCAGATATTAAAATCCAAGGAAGTTGAAGTGCCTTATATAAAATGATGTAATATTTTCATATTACCTATGGATATCCTTTGGACATCTTCTGGGATACCTTATAACATCTCTAGATTACTAATAGTACAATGTAAGTTCTATGTAAATAGTTGATATTTAAGAAATGACAATAAATCTGTTCAGTAGAAATGCAGGTTTTTTTTTTCCTCACACATTTTTGTTTTGTTCTCGGTTGAATTTACAGATGTGGAATATTTGGATTTGGCAGGTTGACCATATTTTTGTTTATCTTTAAAAAGTTGGATAAAAAAGGAAAGACTAGAGTAGGGGGGTTATTATGCATAGAATATCCCTTCAGTGGAGGAGTCTATGATTATGAATATATTTAGTTTAAAAGTATAACCCAAATCCTTTTTATATTTTAATATAGTTTGAAAGTATCATTATATTGCTAGGTATTGTCTTCCAGTTTACATATAGGCATATGTGACTTTATTGAGCACTAAATCTTTGATTACATTTTGGTGTGGTAGCCATGTAAGAGAAACATTGGGTTCCTTTGAAATTTGTTTTCTATGAATATTGAAAGTACTCACAAGTAGATTTAGAAAATCACACTACTCCTGATGTTAATTCTCTGGCTGGAATGTATACTATATTAACATATAGAGTGATAAGCATTAAAATTGCAATAAATTTTACATATACATAATAGTAACTTGGTGAATAGACCCTGGAAGATTTTTTAAAGTATTTTTATTAGGACAGATACGCCTGTCTTAAGAAGGTATAGCTTATTTTCAATTTCTTTAAGTTCTAATTCTTTTCTTTAGAGCATTTTTTTGTACAAGAATGAAAAATAAAATGTAGTTGGATCAGGTTTATATTGTTATTTAGGATTTTCCTCTTTATAAATTTTCTTATGCCTAGGATAATGTTGTCTGCCTGTCTCCTAAACTGGCACAAAGTCTGGGAAATATGAACCAGATTTGTGTTTGTATTCGAGTAACTAGTGCCATCCACCTCATAGATCCAAACACTCTACAAGGTAAGTTTTAAAAACTATTTGCCTTGGGGCTGGCGCTGTGGCTCACTTGGCTAATCCTCTGCCTGCGGCGCCGGCATCCCATATGAGCACCGGTTCTAGTCCTGGCTGCTCCTCTCCCAGTTTAGCTCTCTGCTGTGGCCTGGAAAGGCAGTGGAGGATGGCCCAAGTGCTTGGGCACCTGCACCAGGGTGGGAGACCAGGAGGAAGCACCTGGCTCCTGGCTTCGGATTGGCGTAGCTCCGGCTGTGCTGGCCATTTGGGGGCTGAACCAATGGAAGGAAGGCCTTTCTCCTTTCTCTCTGTCTCTCTCTAACTCTATCTGTCAAATAAAAAAAAAAAAAAAAAAAAAACTATTTGCCTTGACAATTTTGTCCTGTAGGCAAACAATAGTTATTTATGTTTTTCATTTTATCGCACATTCTCAGCCATATTGTTTTAAAGTTTGCACTATTGTTTAATACTTTTTTTTAAAGATTTATTTATTTATTTATTTATATTAAAGGCAGAGGTTTAGAGAGGGAGAAAAACAGAGAAAAGTCTTCCATGTGCTGGTTTACACTCCAAATGGCCACAAGGTCTGGGACTGAGCCAGGTCAAAGTCACAAGCCTGGAACTTGCAGCTTCCCCAGGTGCATTAGCAGGGAGCTGGATCGGAAGTAAAACAATCAGGGCTTGTACTGGCGCTCATATAGGATGCCAGCATCACAGAGGCTTAACCTGCAGTGCCACAATGCCAGTCCTGCTGCTGTTTAATAGTTACAGAACATTGGAATTATAAAGCTTTTGATCACTCATGCTTGTACTTTTTATTTAAAGAAACAATTCTGTGAACTTTTATAAGCTTACAATTTTATTCCATTAGTTTTTATTGAAATTGATTTATTTACTTCATTTAATTTTCTTTTAAAATTTTTATTTATTTATTTGCAAGGTTAAGACAGAGAGAGAGTTCCAGTTATTAGCTTCTTTCTCAATGTCTGCAACACCTAGGAGGGGACTGTGCCGAAGCCAGAACCTAGGAACTAAACCCAGGTCTCCCACATGAATGACAGGGACCCAGTCAGTGATTTATGCCATCACTGCTGCCTCCTAGGGTATGCCTTACCAGGCAGCTGGAGTCAGAAGCTGGATCTGGGTATTTAACCAAGTCAGTCTGATTTGGGATATAGGCATTTTAACTGGTGTTCTAACTGCTAGGCTAAATGCCCACTTCCTTCATTTAATTTTTGTGACAAATTATTTAAATTCATTGCCAAATTTTAATGTATTCAGATATTTACATTTTGGAATATTTGACTTTTTGTGAACCAGTGGGATGTTTTAATTGACTTAATTTATTATATATCTCTTTTAAGAACATTTCCTTTGTAAAAACTATTTTCTAAAGTGGACCTCATGTTGATCGGTGTCTTAGTATTTGGCTGTGTTTCCTACTTCTTGATCTTCTTCATATATTTCCTATAGTTATAAATATTATAAAATCTTGAGTTTATTTTTATATTTTCCAGAAAGTTGTTCATTATCCCTATCAATTAGAGTTCATCCGTTAAAGGTCTTTTTGTGGGGCCAGCATTGTGGCGCAGTGAGTTAAGCCACTGTTTTTGACAACAGCATCCTATATCAGAGCACCAACTTGGGTCCTGGCTGCTCTGCTTCTGCTCCAGCTCCCTGCTAATTTGCCTTGGAAAGCAGTGGAAGGTCAAGTACCTGGGCCCCTGCCCTGTCACTTATGTAGGAGACCCATATGGAATTCCAAGATCAAGCTTCACTGCTCCGTTTCAGATCCAGCTCCCTGCTGATGGCCTGGGAACAAAGTGGAGGATGTCCTGAGTGCTTGGGCTCCTGTACCTTCTGCTGGCTTTGAACAGGCCCCGCTCTGGCTATTGTGGTCATTTTGGAAGTGAACCAGCAGATGGAGGACCTCTCTTTCATCTCTCAGTAACCCTGCCTCTCAAATAAATAAACAAAGCTTTAAAAAAAAAAAAAAAGAAAATGGAATTTAAAAAATGAAATTAAAAAAAGAAAATGGAATTAAAAGATAAAATTTTTGAAAAAAAAAAGGCTTGTTTGCAATACTAGGATGGATATTCTTTATCTGTTAGGTAGAACTGGACTTTGTTTTCCATAAACTAAGCAGCTACAATGATATGTGTTTCTAAAATAAAATTCCAAAATGTACATGAAACAACAATCTGTTCTCGTTTAAAAGGTACTTAGGTCTGGCCGGCGCTGCGGCTCACTAGGCTAATCCTCCGCCTAGCGGCGCCGGCACACCGGGTTCTAGTCCTGGTCGGGGCGCCGGATTTTGTCCCGGTTGCCCCTCTTCCAGGCCAGCTCTCTGCTGTGGCCAGGGAGTGCAGTGGAGGATGGCCCAAGTGCTTGGGCCCTGCACCCCATGGGAGACCAGGATAAGTACCTGGCTCCTGCCATCGGATCAGCACAGTGCGCCGGCCGCAGCGCGCCGGCCTCGGCAGCCATTGGAGGGTGAACCAACGGCAAAAGAAAGACCTTTCTCTGTCTCTCTCTCTCTCTCTCTCTCACTGTCCACTCTGCCTGTCAAAAAAAAAAAAAAAAAAAAGGTACTTAGGTCTGTGATACTCTAATTTTGGTACCTACTTAAGATATTTTTATAGCTGATATTTCTAATGTACTGTGGGAATTTTGGGTTTATTTATAGAAGTAAATGGTAACACTAGAGAGTAAGTTGACACAATGGTTACTGTTGACCAGATGCTTCCCAGTTGGTATTTACTGACTTCTTCCTAGTTAACACATTTGATGAACTCTTTGAAATGCATCCTTTTTGTTGTTTTTTAGTGTTCTGTGCTTATTCTTAGTTGCAGATATTGATGGGAGCACTTTCTGGAGTCACCCTTTCAATAGCTTATGCCATCCGAAACAGCTAGAGGAGTTTATTGTAATGGAATGCAGTATAGTCCGAGATTTGAAACGTAGTGCAGGTGCTGGAATGATATCAAAAAAGGTAAGCTACATTCTTCCCAGTTTTTTGGGACAGGGGGCAACTTTTGGTTTCAGCCTCTTTTTTTTTTTTATTTGTTGGTAATTCCAAATTGTGAATTCAAATAAAGGTAGCACCATAGTAGGTTAAAAAATGCATTTCATATTCTTTTTTTAAACTAGATATATAGTGAAAATTATCAGACTTAAACTATCTGGTATGATAATTTTTTTTCATTTCATTCTGTTCTAAAAATTGTTTCTATTACTGTTAAACGCAATTCCCATTATTATAAAAAGGCATTTGCTTGTAGGAGGACCAAGTGACCAATTAACTTTTGACTGTTTAAAAATCATCAGTAAAAATAAGATACTTCAGTATGCATTGCTTATTTAAAATAGCAACATTTTTCTATAAAAAGCATCATCATACCTACAAATCAGATAATCTGTATTCAGATGTCCTCTTTTGTAATCCAAAATATCTTATATGGTTTGCTCAAAATAGAATACATTAAGAAATTATACATTATATCTAAATACTCTGTCTCATAAATCTTTTCTTTAATAACACGTCCTATCCCTGTCCCCATCCCTATTTTTTGTTTTGTTAGGTTTTGTTTTTGTCATGATACCAACTTCCTTAGACAGCTAGAGCATTTGTCTTATAAAATATTCTATATGCTGGATCTGTCTTATTCTTTCCTCATGATGTCATTAATCTGCTTTTTACTTGTATTGTCTCTAAACTGGAAAATGAATCTAAAGGTTTGGCTAAATTTAGGTTGCATATTTTTTGCCAGGGTATTTAAGGGGTGATGCTGTCCCCTTTTTATCATATCAAGAGACAAGTAATTTCTACTTTGGTGATAGCCAGATCCCATCATTGTTAATGTTATGATGCTTCTTTCCCTTTTGACCAGCAAATAATTTGTGGAGTGATAATATGCAGATATCAAGCCCTGTTGTCTCTGTTTTCTACCTACTTTTAGCATCTGTTGATAATTCTTACCTAAATTATCTTATTTAAGGTACAAAATGACAAATTTTCTATTTGTATTATTTTTTCTGCATATTAGCTGTTCTATTTTATTAAGGAAGAACTCCCCATTATTAGCTAGGGCTATTGGTTTCCCTAAAAGTCTTTTCTGCATAAATGCTTAATTCTTTCTCTTTCATCACATATTTTCAGAGTAAGGAGTTGATCTAAGAATCACTTCTGGTGATGAAAATTAATTTTGATTTGTTTTTGTAGTTAGCATTGTCTCTTCCTCTGTGTCATTATGATCTCATGAAATATTATGTATTTACTATATTTTTCTTTCCTTTCCACTTCCTCTCTTCTTTCCTCCCCCTCTCCCTGTTTTTCCTTCCTGTTTTTAAATGCTCAGATTGCCCCAAATTTGGCCAAGGGGAGCCCCTTCATAATGGTTTTTAAGTCCTTTTGACATGACTTTCTTAGTCTTTTAAGCATGTTTATTATTTTCTGGTAAAACAACAGCATTCTGGCATTTCAAGATCACATTGCATATTTTTAACCCATATATGGAATAAAGTATTTGCTTAAGAATGGAAGTCTGGTTTCTTTCATTGTGAAATAGCATTTAGAGATCTCCTATTTAAGTGTTAAGGATACTAACTTATTTTGATATATGCCTTTTGAGGCAAAAATAACTTTCGTTATTTTGGGGAAAAGTCAATGGAAATGGAAAAGAGGATACTTTGTACAGACTTGTTTAAAATAAAAAATTAATAGCAGCAAGAGCACACTTTACGTTTTTAATAAATATTGAAGGACAACACATCTCAGGCAGATAAAAACAAAACAGGTTCGTAAGTCTTTTTTTTTTTTTTTAAGATTTATTTATTTATTTGAAAGGCAGAATTTACGGAGAGAAAAAGAGAGAAAGAGATCCATTTTCCATCCACTGGTTCACTCCCCAAATGGCAACAACGACTGGATCTGGGCTGATCTGAAGCCAGGGGCCAGGAGCTTTTTTTGGGTGTTCTGCATGGGTGCAGGGGCTGCTCTTTTCCCAGACAGATTAGCAGAGAGCTGTGTTGGAACTGGAGCATCCAGGACTCAAACCGGAGCCCATATGGGATGCTGGCGTCACAAGCAGCAGCTTGACTTGCTAACCACAATGCCAGCTCACCAGAAGTCTTTTATAAAAAGCAGTCTGGTAGCTAAAAAGTGAATCCTATTGTGTAGAATTTAGTTTCTCCCTGGTAATTCGTTTTCTTTTTCAGTTCTTTCCTAAATATGAGACCTGTCTTTTATTTTACTTTTTCCTTTCTACCTTTTTATTTATTTATTTTTAGATTCCTTAATTTTGCTTGTAACTCTTAATATTTTTCTCTGATCTCACTTTATTTGCTCTTTGTTACTAAAAGGTATTGGCACGTTACTCTTAATTCAGCATGGTAATTTGAAATTAAATTATAAGTGCTTGTAAAATCTTAAGTCGAAAAGAGAATCAGCAGTTTTCTAGTTTAAAATTTCAAACTTGTTATTTCTACAATAGTTTTAAAAGAAAAGATTACACTTTAAGCTAGTTGATGTCCAAAAAATTTAATTTGATATTTGGGTATTCTGATGATGTGCTACTGAAATTTCTCCCTCCCTCCTGAATTCTTGTGTCAAATGGGATTGCTTGGAATATTTCCTTGCTTTATAATTTCCCTACCTTTTTAAGTTACTCCGTTTGCACAGTCTGTATTGACCTATCTTCCTTTGAAAATACTTCTTTTTATATAGTTTATTTTGAGGTGATACTGTTAATGTTTTATAAAAGACTTAAATAAGCCTTAACAATAATCAGTGATTTTTCTAAATTCTTTGTGAGTCTCCATACTCATGATTCATTAATTTGTTAATTTTCTCAGTATTTCAGAGATCTTAAAAATAATAATTCCTGTGTTTAAAAGAAAATTAGCCAAAAATCAATATTGTATTTAACTTTTCTTGAGATGCTTTTTTGATTTATTTTTATATTATTGAAGAATACATTTTCTTTCCTCTTAAGCATACACTCGGGGAAGTCTGGGTACAGAAAACATCTGAAATGAATACAGATAAGCAGTATTTTTGTCGCACACATTTGGGACATCTTCTAAATCCTGGAGACCTGGTGTTGGGGTGTGTATTACTTTGTAGCATTTTAAACTGCCAATTAGCATTGTGTATTTTCTTTAGGGGCCAGCGAGGCTACCTAAAATACCAAAGTTGTCTATTCCAAAAGGATGGGTTCTGAGGTAGTTTATAATTGATTTTATTATTATTTTTTAAAGATTTAGTTATTTTATTTGAAGTTGGTTAACAGAAAGAGCAGGGACAGATGGTGGATCTGCTGATTCATTCCCCAAATGGCCACAATGACTGTGTCTGGGCCAGACTGAAGCCAGGAGCTTGGAACGCATCTGGTTTGCCACGTGGTTGTTTGGCCCAGGCACTTGGATCATCTTCTGTTACTATCCCAGGAAAATTAGCAGGGAACTATGTCAGAAGTGGATCAGCCAGGAATTGAACTGTCACTCATGGGATGCTGGCATCACAGGTTGTAGCTTAACCTCTTGAGCCACAGCACTGGTTCCTTGTTTTATTATTGATAACTAAACTGTGGATTGGATGGAAGCCTATGATTACTTTATTTTGGCCATCATCTTAAAAAGTCATCTCTTCCAAGATTTTAGTAATTGAATCTTGAAATTATACAGTTAGATCCAAATTTATAGCTTTTTTGAGGAATAGGTAGTTTATTTCTATTATGTGTGTGGTGCCACTCAATATTTCACTTTTAATATTTAGCACCCATATCTTAAGGGTATATAAAAGTGAAAAAGAGTCCTTTATAAATCAGTTTACCTGTGTGCCTTATACATTACTTTTGCTATTAGGTTTCAGTTCCTTTACCTGGGAGAATGAGGGATTTTGATTTGCTTTATGTTGCTTTGTAAAGCAGATGAAGCTATTCCACTAAATCCTTAATTTAGATTGGCATATTAGTCTGTTTAGCTGATTTTACAAGTGAGGGTACTTCAAAAAGCTCATGGAAAATAGATGAAAAGATGCTTGTTTTGGAGAGGAAACTTTGAAATTCATAGTTTTTTCATAATGTTCATTTTTCATGTACTTTTTTTTCTTAAGGATTTATTTATTTGAAAGCAGAGTTTCAGAGAGAGAGAGAGAGAGATAGATCAATCTTCCATTTGCTGGTGCACTCCCCAAATGACTGCAGTGGTTGGTACTGGGTCAGGCCAAAGCCAGGAGCCTTGAACTCCATTGTAGTCTCCCACATGGGTGATAGGAGCTCACATACTTGGGCCATCTGCTACTGCTTTCCCAGACACATAATCAGGGAGCTGGATTAGAAGTGGAGCATTCTGGACTTGCTCTGATGTCACAGGTGGCAGCTTAACCTGCTGTGCCACATACCGGTCCCTTAATGAACTTTTTTTTTTTTTTTTTGGACAGGCAGAGTGGACAGAGAGAGAGAGACAGAGAGAAAGGTCTTCCTTTTGCCATTGGTTCACCCTCCAGTGGCCGCCGCGGCCTTCGCACTGCGGCCGCCACACCGCGCTGATCCGATGGCAGGAGCCAGGTACTTATCCTGGTCTCCCATGGGGTGCAGGGCCCAAGGACTTGGGCCATCCTCCATTGCACTCCCTGGCCACAGCAGAGAGCTGGCCTGGAAGAGGGGCAACCGGGACAGAATCCAGCGCCCCAACCGGGACTAGAACCCGGTGTGCCGGTGCCGCAAGGTGGAGGATTAGCCTAGTGAGCCACGGCGCCGGCCCCTTAATGAACTTTTGAAGTCCCTTCATATATAGAGAGGTAGACAATAATGGTTACTATATGACCCTCAGAGGTAGAATAATTTGTTTCTACCACGATCTATAGGAGCTATGCTATGTAAATTGCTAAAACTTAAAGTGTGAAGCATCTTAAATGTTTGAGATTGAGAGAAAGATTTCGGTACTATCTGTAACACAAAGTTACACTGAAGGGATAAATAATTTTTCATTGTTTACATTTCAGGTTTGACTTGGCCAACTGTAATTTAAATGATGAACATGTCAACAAAATGAACTCTGATAGAGTTCCAGATGTGGTAAGACTTTTAATTTTTCTTTTTTTCCTATATAAAAAGGGATTGGTTGTAACTCTTCACATGAGTCAGAGTGTATGAATTCACACTTCTGAAAATAGCAAATTAATGTAGAGGTTTCTTTGAATTGAAGGGAAGATATAATAACAAAAGTCTTCATTTTAAATAATTTTTCTTGGGGGTAAGCCCATAATTTCTTGAATTCTTTTGTGTTTGTTATCAGATTTTTATTTTCTGTCAAAAAAGTTGATGCTCTCTGTAGAGCAGAAATATATTTGCAGTTATAATTGATGATCCTATAAAATTACTCAAGTTCATTCTTGCTAGGATCAGCCTATTATGTATATTGCTCAGTTAAGAAGGCATTTAGAATGAAGACACATTATTCAAATCTGAATATAATTAAAGTTGGGAATAATCTTTTATCAAGTATCAAATCTTGGAGAAAGACTATTGTGAGAAATCTGTGAAGTTCTAACATGATGAGTTTAACAGTCATTAGATTGATTGAAATCAGTGTAAAAGACCTACTTTTTGTTTAGTCTTTTAGAATAAGCATTGATTTCTTTAGTTATGAAAAAAAATTAAGTTATGGTAAAAGAAGGATCCTCCCTCTCCTTCTATACACCATTTTAGCTTTCATTAGTTGACAAGTTAGGAAATAGAAGCATGGTTTGGGTGAAGTCAAAATGCGGATTTCTAACTAGGTTATAAGACGAGATCATGACTGTCTTGTAAGATTTTTGTGTTGTGTAAAATTTTTAGTTATTGTGCAGTTTGGTTTACTATGTTCTAAGATACACTATTATGAAAGTTATACCTAGTATGTAAGCACTTGTTAGTGGGAAACATCCTGTGATGTTTCACAGTTATATGAATATTAGTTGAAAATTGAAGTTTGATTTTAAAAATACTGAAAGTTTTGATATAAAGAAATAATAGTTACTGGAAATTTTCACTTTGTAAATTTTAAAAATTATATAAAAATGCCCAAATATGTTTTCATATAAATACACAGAATGATTTTGAAAGTCCTTTTGACCGCTATTTCTTTCTCTGTGTTATCAATTTGGTGACTTTTCTGGAACCCCCATAACCTTTCACTTTTAATTTTATTGGATTTTGTGGTCCTACTGTGTAGTTAGTCCCATTTTTTTGTAATTTTGCAAATATTTGTTACAGGTATTAATCAAGAAGAGCTACGATCGTACCAAACGTCAGCGGCGTAGAAACTGGAAACTGAAAGAGCTTGCAAGAGAGAGAGAGAACATGGATACAGATGATGAAAGGTGCCCCTTTTCTTTAAAACTTACATGTTTTCTAAAAGGAAATCCTTAACGATAAATCATTTTTATGTTATAAAGAAATAGGCATCATATGATTTATCTTTACACTCAATATTAATTTTGTATTTTTATCAGATATTGATGGAATTGGTGTAAGAGTCTATAATGGCATTTAACATGAGTAAAATAGTTACTTCATGGGTTATCACCTGATCAATTGCAGTGTTTGTTAATGTGAACAATTTAGATGAAAAGTTAAAATATAGTGAATAATTACCTTGTGGATATCACAAATATTAGCCGAGTATTTATAACTTGAGATTAGAAGAAAACAGCTCATTTATGTTATTTTTCAAATGACTTCAGCAGAAATGAAGATAATGTGTTCTAAAAAAGTTTATTAGGTGATTCAAAAAGTGACTGTGTGCTGGTGAAGACACTGGTCTAAAAAATGAAGAGTCAATACAAAATTGTTTTATGAAATATGAATTAGGAAACAACAGTGTTTCTAAAATATAATCTTGTAATTTAAAAGTATGACTAAACATTTAACATTAAAATAATGAGATATTGTAAGTGCTTGTTTGACCTTCTGTAGTTCTAAATTCTATGTATTTCAGCTTGGCCGTAAAGCTGTTTTAGTGGAGGAGGAGGAGGATTCTTATTTTCTCATAGTCATATTTAACATTACCTTCTAGTCACCTGTTTTTATTACAGAGTTTTGAAAGAAAAGAGTTTTTAAGCCTGTGAAAGTATTTAGCTACCTTCCATATTTTATCTTTTATTAAGATTATAATAATTGGAACACATTTATCTTGAAGTACTGACAATGGAGAAAATGTAACTTCACATTATCTTGGTGAAGATGAAATATTTAAATATTCTTTCTCCTTTAGGCAATACCAGGATTTCCTTGAAGATCTTGAAGAAGATGAAGCAATTAGAAAAAATGTCAACATTTACAGAGGTTGGTGTTTTAGGAGTGTTTCATTTAAATTATATTATGTACAAATACAGTACCCAGGATGAGTACTTGTTTTCTTAAGCTTTGGTTCCCATAGTTGACGTATAGTGTTTGTTTTTTAAACCACTGTAGTCAAACTTTACATAAAGTTACAAAAGAATAAAATTTACTAAAATGTTACTTGCTTTTACCACATTTGATAACTTTTTTTAAAGACATATTTATTTGTTTATTAGAAAGGCAAAGAAAGTGATCCTTCCATCTGCTGGTTCACTCCGCAAATGGCCACAACAGCCGGGACTAGGCCAGACTGAAGCCAGGAGCCAGGAACTCCATCTAGGTCTCCTAAAGGGGTGGCAAGATCTTGAATACTTGAGCCCTCATTCTCTGTTTCCCAGGCACATTATCAGGGAACTCTGAATCAGAAGTGGAGTAGCCAGGGCCTTAACCAGCACTCCAGTATGTGGTGTGGGTGTCCTTATCCTTATCCTAGTGTGATCCCTCAAGTTGCTGGCCTCTGTAATTTATTCATACATTTATTTAGTTATTGATACATTTATTGAGTTGTTATTGAGTTCATTTATTCAATGAATATTTGAATGCCTAGATAAGATAGTTAAGTAATACTAATGATGGGAGAATCAGCTATTTAAATGTTTCTGTATTTTCATTAGTTTGAAATCTACTTTGTGTTTTTTTCTCTCAGATTCAACCATTCCTGTGGAAAGTGACACAGATGATGAAGGAGCACCTCGAATTAGTTTGGCTGAGATGCTTGAAGACCTTCATATTTCCCAAGATGCCACTGGTGAAGAAGGTGCATCAATGATGACATAATGAGATTGTGTTGTAGACTGTTTCTACATTTGGGCTCAGGAAATTGGACAGAATAACCTTTACTGTGTATTCTATCTTTGCGTACCTATTGTAAGATGAAAAATTTGGTTTTAAGATTAAATAAATATGATTTTGATTGCTCACTCAAAGCACTGCAAGAGTTTGATAGCTTTACAGTTTAAGTAATAATAAAAGATTATAGAGAATGTAATTATTGATATGTAGGCCATTTTATGTATGGAATCTTTTTTTTAGAATGAGGCATTACAGTATTTTCACCTGCTATAGTGCTAGATTTTAAAAGGTGAAAAATTGTGATTCCTTGAATATTAAATCTTAAACCAAAAAATGAGTGTTTACATTATTTTCATTTTGTTTTATGAGCTTGTGAAGAGTAATTTTTAATATGAACTTGTTATGCACTTTGATCCATTTTAGGTTATTTTATATGTTCTTATGGTAGAGAAATTGAGTCTCAGCATATCATTGGGTAGTCAAGAGGAAAGTTAATCTTTTTTATTTCTTCATAAAATTACATCTTCAGATGCTTTTAAACTGAAGGTTATCTTAATTTTTATTGCATAGAAACATTTAAATATTTATAGATTTGTAGCAAACATAGACTAGTTACTTAAAGATTAAATAATAGTTTGTTCCTTTGTGATTTTTCTTGGGCAGGCAGCTTAGGGCAGTAGCTGCTTATGTCATAAAAATGTCTTCCTATCACCTCAAGAATTTTAGTTTATGAATTGAGATGAAAGAAATTTTCTATGTAAGTTGCTATCATTGAGCACATTACCATTAAAAAGAAAATTGGATTCCAGCATGTAGAGGGTAGTAATAAAAGTAAGATATATCTTATAAAACCATGAGTCAGATTTGAATGAGTAATGCCTCTACATCCATCCTGAAAGAAAAGCCTTGGCTTGGATTCTAAAGTGTTCTGAGAATGACATATTAAGGTCCTATTTCTGTAAGCAAGATCAGGCTTACTATGTATAACAGAACTAAGAGGTAATTAAAAATATATACACAACACTAAATATTAAAGAGATGGAGCCAGTACTAAATGAAACATTTTCCTTTTTTTCAAGATTAGACTCCCCAGTTTTGAAGTTATGAATAAAGACTTGAACTTCATATAATGGCACCTTTACTGTCTGCATATTTAGTTAAAGTTGTGGATGTAAAAGACATATCCTATACTTGATGGTAGCCAAGTAGGGCAGGTTTCTCTTATTTTTTCAAAGGTGAGCATGGCTGCCTCAAGTGCTCACATGTTGTCTTTATCGCTTCTATGTTAAAATATCAGCATGAAAATAAAAACATCTTTTCCCTTTTTCTGTGTCCTTGAAGTGGGTACATTAGTGTCAAATTTACATGAGAGAGTATCTCATGCTATTGTTATATTTAAGTGCTTTTTTTTCCTGAAAAATATAGTTTCCACTAACTTTATTTAATCTTTTTTTAAAAAAAGAGATTTATTTAATTTAAAGGCACTGTGACAGAAAGAGAGGTAGAGACAGAGAGAAATCTTCCATTTGCTGGTTCACTCCCCAAATGGATGCATCCTCCAGAGCTGGGCCATGCTGAAGCCAGGAGCTGAGAGCTTCTTCCAGGTCTCTCACATAGGTGTAGGGGCCCAAGTACTTGGGCCGTTTTCTGCTGTTTTCCCAGGTGCATTATCAGGGAGCTGGATCAGAAATGGAATAGACAGAGCTTGAATCTGCATTCTGATAAGGGTGCTTGTATTGGCATCATAAACAGAGGCTGAACCTTCTGCACCACAGTGCCGGCCCCAATCTTGTTTTTTTGATATCTTACCTGTTTGAGTATTGAAGCCTGTTTATTGAACACTCTCTGTGACAAGGTAAAGGAATATGACTAAGAGAAAATGTTATCCCAGAATTTGTACAGAATTAATGTGAAATCTAATTTAGAGTCTGATTCCCATAGTGAAGAGGCTTGTTGTTCCAACAGTACTATTTTCTTTTTTAAGATTTATTTTATTTATTTGAAAGTCAGAGTTACAGAGAGAAAGAGGCAGAGAGAGAGAGGTCTTCCATCCACTGGTTCACTCCCCAAATGATCGGACCTGAGCCGATCTGCAGCCAGGAGCCAAGAGCTTCTTCTGGGTCTCCCACGCATGTGTAGGGGCCCAAGGACTTGGGCCATCTTCTACTGCTTTCCCAGGCCATAGCAGAGAACTGGTTCGGAAGCCGAGCAGCCAGGACTCAAACCAGTGCCCACATGGGATGCTGGTGCTGTGGGCTGCGGCTTTAACCCGCTGCGCCATAGTGCCGGCCCCTCCCTCAGTACTATTGCTGATATCCCAGAGTTGATATGAGTTGCAAAGGTGGCTAAGTAGATGTACAAATGGTTTATAAATATTACTAATTTAGAAGTCAGTATGATCATTATACTGTATAGAAGCTTGAAGCTGTTTTGTAGTCCACAGTCACTGATGAGTAAGAAAAGAGTTGAAACAGAGTTTCTAGTATAATTGAAATATTTCACAGAACTCAGCTGGTTTTTTGATACGAAAGAACCCAGGCATTTGAGGCTGTGTGTGAGGACACCCCTTACCATCCAAGCCTGAGTTGGTGCCACAATTTTCACCAGACTCTTAAATTTGGTAAATGTGTATGTATTGATTCTATCCTTACATTTCTTATGTGATTTCTAGTCCAAAGGATGTTTACTTTTTAAAATAATTTTTTTTTAATTTCTCCACAAGACTTACAAAAAAAGTTGTGAGACTGCAAAGAATTTCTGGATACACTACCCAGATTTGCCAAATGTAAATATTTTACTTCATTTGTTTTGTTTACCCTACTTCCTGGTTATTTTTTACTTAAGCATTTGAGAGTAAGGTATAGACATTATACTTCTTTACTCTCAAGATATTTCATATTTTTATTTATTTGAAAGATACATGCACACACACATATACACAGAGAGAGACAAAGAGAAAGAGATTTTTCATTTGTTGGTTCACTTCCCAAACACCCATAACAGCCAGGGATGGGCCAGGTTGAAGCCAAAAGCTTGGAACTCAATCCAGGTCTCCATGTGGGTGGCAGATGATCCAAGTACTTGTGCCATAAATTTCAGATCTCTGTCTCCAAAACAAGGAATTTTCTAATTGAAATGCAGTGATCAAGTCAGAAAATTAATATTGACTTAAAGCTGTAATCTAATCAATAGAGTGTATTAAGATTGTGTCAATATCCAAAAAAAGTCTGTTACAGAAAAACAGTTCAGTTTAAAATTCTCATACCCTCGGCCGGCGCCGCGGCTCACTAGGCTAATCCTCCGCCTAGCGGCGCTGGCACACCGGGTTCTAGTCCCAGTCGGGGCGCCGGATTCTGTCCCGGTTGCCCCTCTTCCAGGCCAGCTCTCTGCTGTGGCCCGGGAGTGCAGTGGAGGATGGCCCAGGTGCTTGGGCCCTGCACCCCATGGGAGACCAGGAAAAGCACCTGGCTCCTGGCTCCGCCATCGGATCAGCGCGGTGCGCCGGCCGCGGCAGCCATTGGAGGGTGAACCAACGGCAAAGGAAGACCTTTCTCTCTGTCTCTCTCTCTCACTGTCCACTCTGCCTGTCAAAAAAATAAAAAATTAAAAAAAAATAAAAAAAATAAAAAATTCTCATACCCTTTAATTTTCTTTAATCTGGGCCAGTAGCTGAAGGTATATTTTATGTAGTTGTTGAAGAGTCCAAGCCAATTATTTTGTAGAATAACATGAATTTGGGTTTGACTGATGTTTTTATGGTTAGATTTAGGTTATATCCTTTTGGCAAGGCTACACCAGAAATTATGCCAAATTCTCATTGTATCCCATTAGAAGGCATGTGCAATCAGTCCAGATGTTCCCCATCTTCCTGGTAGTTGGTCTTTTCTTACAAGAACTTTCCCTCTTCAAGTATTTGCTTATTCAACTGTTTTTCACAGCAGTGTAGACTCTTGGGATTTTACTTTAGTTAGGATTTAATCCTATATCTTCATTATTTTCACTTGTTTTTTTAAAAAAATTGATTTTTAACTTACAGGTAATGAATTTTATTATTTGATGTGTGGATATATGAATTTTAACAGTTATGAATTATGTAATCACCACAGTGAAAACACATTGTAGCTTCCCCTCAAATTCCTTCTTGCTGCCTTTTTGTTTTCAAATGCCTTTACTATCCATAGTCCTGTCAAGTTTTGATCTGTCCTCTGACCTTATATAAATATATGAATGAAACTACTACAGTATGTAGACTTCTGAATCTAGTTTCTTTTACTTGGCGTAGTTCACTTGAAATTCATACACTGCTATATGAGAGTACTTCCAAAAATTCATGGAAAATGGAATTAAATAAACTTGCTTTGGTACAAAAATTTTGACAGCTCTGCATAGTTTTTTCATAATACTCATTTCAGTGAACTTTTTGAATACCCCTCATATATATGGTAAGAGTTGATTCTTTTTTATTTCTGAATAATCTTGAATTCTGAAGATGTGTCGCAGTTTACCCATTTTTCTATTACACATTTGAGTTGTTTCCACTTTTAAATGTTTAGTAGTAAAGCTGCTCTGGGTATCTCTGTATAGTTGTTTAGTTTACATCAGCAAATAACTTGAAATGACATTGTTACTTCCTGTAGTAAATATATATTTATAAAAATCTGCCAGACAGTTCCACTGTGGCTTGTGCTGATTGCACTTTTCCTACCAGCAGTGTATGAGAATCTTAAGTTTCTCTGTCAGTAATTGATGTTGTCAGGGTTTTTTGTGTGTGTTTGTTTTTTTAAAGGCTATCGGTGAATAGTGGTAGCTTTTTTTCTTTTCTTTTCTTTCTTTTTTTTTTTGGTTGTATTTATTTATTTGAAAGACAGAGCTACAGAGAGAGGGAGAGACACAGAAAGAGTTGGTTTATTCTCCAGATGGCCACAACCATTAGGGCTGGGCTAGGCTGAAGCCAGGAGTCAGGAGCCTCATCTGGGTCTCCCACTTGGGTGTCAGGGACCCAAGTACTTTGTACCAAAGTACAAAAAGTACAGGTCATCCTCTGCTTTTTCCAGGCCATTAACAACTGGATCAGAAGTGGAGCAGCTGGGGCATGAATTGGTGCCCATATGGGGTGCCAGCATAGCAAGCAGTGGCTTTACCTGCTATGCCACAGTGCTGGCCCATGTTATTTTACATTGCATTTCCTTAGTGAATAATAATATTGAGTACCTTTTCATGTGCTCCTTTTGTGTTGGTATGTCTAGTAAAATGGCTGTACAAATCTTTCATAGATTTTTAAAGATTGGGTTTTGTCTTAATTTGGCTGCTGTAATAAATACCATAGACTAAGATGGCTTTAACAACAGAAATTTATTTTCACAGTTCTGGAGGCTAGGAAGTCCAAGATCAGGATGTCAGCATAATCTGGTTCTAGTTAAGGTCCTCTTCCTGGTTTGTACATGGCCAGTTGTCTTGTTGAATCCTCATATGATGGAGAGCAGAGTAAGAGGAAGCAAGTTGTGGCAGAGTAGAGAGGAAGAGCTCACTACTGTCCCTTCAGTGGAGCATTAATCCCATCATGTGGATTTCATTGCCTTACCCTAATTACCTCCTAATGGCCCCATCTCCTGATGTATCTTCTAATTAGAGATTGGTGTTTCAACATGAATTTTGGGGGGATATAAACATTGAGTCCATAGTTGGTTGTTTTTCTAAAGATTAGTATTATTTTTAAAATATTTATTTGCAAGGCAGAGTTAGAGGGAAAAACAGGAATCTTGCATCTACTGGTTCACTCCCCAAATGGCTGCAACAGCCAGAGCTGGGCCAGGCCAAAGCCAGAATAGCTGCAAACTACATTCAGGTCTCCTGCATTGGTGCAGGGGCCCAGGCACTTAGGTCATCTACTGCTGCTTTCCCAGGCCCATAAGTAAAGAGCCAGATTGGAAGTGGAGCAGCTGAGACTCAAACCAATGCTTATATGGAATGCCTGAATGGTAGGCAGCTGCTTAACATATGGTTTCACGACTCTCAACCCTGTTTTCTAATTATTGAGTTTTGTTGTTGTTGTTCACATTCTATCAGACTCAACCAATGCGTACCTGTTCAAGCTGGGTTCTATATATTTCCGACATGTGCCAGTTACATATGTGATCTTGTTTTCATAGATGCTGATAGAGTGTAATTCTGGGCAGGTTTTGGATTTCCCTTGGTCAGGGCCCGCCTACAATCTGTTCTTGGCTTATTTTGCTCAGAAGAGAACAATGTACTTATAAATAGAGCAGCTTCAGTTGAGGCATCTATGACTTAAGGAATTAATGGTTTCATAAGAAAAGACACAGAT